CATCTGGTTTAAGAACACTAGTGGGTTATGGTCCGTTCACGTTCAACGTGAATTTTAAACGGTCAGTCGAATCTTAGACTAGCGAGCACTGGGGCGGAAGATAAGATCAGTTTCAAATTTTTAAATGCTTCTATACAGTCTGTTGACCACCTAAATTTAACGGCCTTCTGCAACAAGTCTGTGAGAGGCATGGTGACACTGGAAAAGTTCTGACAAAAGTGTCGGTAGTACGCACACATACCGATAAACCTTTGAACGTCTTTTTTAGACCGGAACACTGGATACTCCAGAATGGCACTGATTTTATCTTGCCGAGGTAACACTTTTCCTTGGCCCACTTCATAACCGAGGTACGTCACTGTCCCTTGGCCAAAATGACACTTTTTTGCATTTAAGGTTAGATTTGCCCTTTTCATAACTGTGAACAACTGACATAACCTAGCTATGTGATCAGCCCAATTTGTATAAAAAAGCACAATGTCATCTAAATACGCCCGACAATTTGGCACATTAGCGAGCAGAGAGTTCATTAGCCTCTGGAACGTTGCAGGGGCATTACGCAAGCTGAACGGTAACCCTTGATACTCGAAGGCACCATCAGGTGTTACAAACGCAGTTAGTTGCTTGGCACGTTCGGTGAGCGGGATCTGATAATATCCTCTCAAGAGATCGAATTTCGAGACGTACTTGGCGTTTCCGATATCGTCAATGCAGTTGTAACGGTTCTATTGTTACGTAAAGTATGGTGACAAATAAACACAGACACTAAGATACTATATATATATTTGGTCGAATATACAGAAGTACACAGGTGATACTTTGGTGTGAGTTGAGCGCACTGAGCGTCGGTACAGTATCTCGCAAGTGTCTGCTCTAGACCACACTTGAAAGTAGACTCTGGTTTAATGTTTGCTATCCTGCTGCTTATATGCCCGGGCAACTCCTCACTGTATTGCCCGGGCAACGCCTCACCTCATTCATCTCCAAAGGTTGACAGGAATATTAACACTATATTTGGAGCGAGTATATTATTGGGATAATCTACTCGCTACACAGTCCTCGAGGAGGGGCAGCGGGTAGGCATCCACAATGGTCACCTTGTTGAGCTGCCGATAGTCGGTGCATAATCGCCAGGAGCCGTCTGGTTTGGGGACCAAAAGGCAGGGCGAGCACCAAGAGCCCTGGCTCGGCCGGATGAGGCCGTGCTGGAGCAGGAAGTCAACTTCGTTCCTCACGATGGCCTTTTTTTCTGGACTCATCCGATAGGGTTGAAGACGAATCGGGGTGTAGTCCGTCAACTTGACATCATGGTAGATGGCATCAGTCTGGGTCGGGACCTCCCAGAACAAACTGGAGAATTCATCAAGTAACGACTGCTCCTCTTCACGTTGGGCCATCTTCAAATGGGACAGTCTCTCCTCCACAGCATTCACAGAACTAAAATTACTGAGAATGAGATTAGTTGGGTCCCCAGAACAATCATCCCCTCCCTCACTGGAAAAGGAAACATTGGATAGTGTGACGGGCCTGGGGCCCTGGAACTTCTTCAGACGGTTCAAGTATACAAGCATCACCTGGTTACGCTTGTCAGAGTGCCTAACTTTGTATGTGAGGTCCCCAACCTTTTCTGTCACAATATAAGGGCCTTCGTACTTGTGAGACATTGTTCCCTAGTCGAGGCTTTAATACCAGGACAGGGTCACCAGGCTGAAATACCCGCAACTTAGCCTTAGCATCGTGTTGTTCTTATATATTTTCTTGGGCCTTCCCAAGATATTTTAGTGCAGCCGCCTTGCAGTCCTTGAGTCTCTGGTGGTGTTGTGCAAAGAAAGCCGATCCTTCGGTCAATGTTACGTTCCCTAACAGATTCTCCTGTAACATTTGCAAGGGTCCACGAACCTTATGGCCAAAGACTAACTCAAAAGGAGAACAACCCAGTGAACTTTGTACCCCCTCTCGAGCAGCAAATGAAACATAAGGCAGGTTCTCATCCCAGAATGTGTGGGAATTCTTGCACGATGTCTTCAGCATCTGATTAAGGGTTTGATGGAACTGCTCAATTACCCCCTGACTCTGTGGATGGTATGGGCTAGAAACCTTATGAGTTATTCCATGGTCCTAACAGAATTGTTAAAAAATGTCAGACTTAAAATTAGTACCATTGTCGGTTTGCACAAAAGGCAGTTCAAAAGTAGAAAAAAATTGCAACATACGGGCAACAACAGTCTTTGCTTGGATGTTCCTTACAGCAAAAGCCTCAGGGTAATGAGTAATCGCGATGATGATACACATCATCGCGATTAAGTAAATATTACCAGACTTAGTTCTAGGTAATGGACCAGCACAGTTCATTACCACATGAGAAAATGGTTCCTCCAGCACGACAATAGGCCTTAGAGGAGCTTTAGGTGGAGTCTGGTTTGGTTTCCCAACAAGCTGACAAGAAATACATGAGTTACAAAATTTTGCCACATCTCTTTTTCAGCTTGGGCCAGAAGAAATATTTAAAAATTTTGTGATAGGTGATATTAATGCCTTGATGTCCCCCCCATAGGATCATCATGAGCAGCTGCCAAAACTCTCTCCCTATAGCAGGTAGGCAACATAACCTGGTAGACTACCTCCCCTTCATTTGACAAGGGAGAACTCTGTGGTCTCCATTTTCTCATCAAAATCTGATCATTGTAATTGTACCCGGTTGCTGCATCTACAATCTCCTCCTTAGAGAGAGCTACATCGTGACATTCTGCAAGACTGGGATCAGCTTTCTGTAAATCACTCAAGGAATCGTGCAGGCCTTGGTCAGATGCCATTGGCTGAGGCTCAACTGTGTTCTCCTCCACCTCCTCACTACTCTCTGTAGGAGGCGATGGTAGGCTCTCCACAATGTCCTCCGCCTCACCATCGAGTCGGGCCATGAATGTGTCCGCGAGGTCCACTTGGCTTTCACCACTCGGAAAGTTCCTCGTGTCCTCGGGATTTACCACCTTGGCAAGCACAGGGCTGCCCTTACATTTAAGTTCCATAGACCTGGTCACCACACACGCAGGGTACACAACATTATCCTCTGTGGCGGGTAGGTCAAGGGAAACCTTAGAGGTAGGTAACATAATAGGCAGTCTGGAGTCCCCTACTTTATCCCCTGCTAAATCATTACCAACTATTACATCAACATTAGGGAAAGGTAGGTATGAAGTGACTCTGACTGTACAAACACCCTTCTGGAAATCAGATTCCAGGGTAACCTTATAAAGGGGTACTGCTCGAGCATCACTAGTGACATCCTCGACCAGTACTACCTCTCCAGTGTCGAGAGAGTTGGCACGTTGCAACGCACTCTCCAAGATTAATGTCTGGATGGCACCGGTGTCTCGGAAAATCACCACGTCCTTCCAGGAAGAACCTTCATACAACAAAAGTCTCCCTTTCGATAAGAATGAGGTACGCAGGTCCATCCACTGTGGGTTGAAGGTCTTACTCCCTAACCCTTCAGAAGGCCCCAAGCCCTGTGTCACAACAAGAGTATTGGGTCTTTTTTCCGGGTGCAGTTGCCAACAACGGCTAGTAATGTGGTTTGCACGTTTGCAGTGACCACAGACTCGTCGGGGAGAAGAGACATTACATACAGGATTGCCCTTTGGTTCACCCTTGGGTGCCGTGGGGTTAGACAATTTTACAGGGATAGTTTTGTCTGAAACAGAAGGTGCATTAGTTATAGGGTTAGAATGGGCTGGTCTGGACTGGCTGTGGGTATAAATTTTGTTACTCTGTGGGCTATAATTATTTTTATTGGGCCTTTTGCCCGCCAACTGGTAGTTTTCTGCCATCTTGGCCAAATCCATAATATTATAATCTACCTCCGTCCCCTCTCTAAGGTACCGTGCTACAGGCTCTGGCATATTATCCATAAAGTTCTCCGGTAAAACTAAATTTTTGAGTGCCTCGTATGTTTCGGCTCAGCCCCGGCATTATCCTTGGCTCACCAACAGCATTATCCTTGCCTCAGCCCCGGCATTATCCTTGCCTCAGCCACAGTATTATCCTTGCCTCAGCCACAGCATTATCCTTGGCTCACCAACAGCATTATCCTTGCCTCAGCCCCGGCATTATCCTTGCCTCAGCCACAGTATTATCCTTGCCTCAGCCACAGCATTATCCTTGCCTCAGTCACAGTATTATCCTTGCCTCAGCCACAGCATTACCCTTGCCTCAGCCACAGCATTACCCTTGCCTCAGCCACAGCATTATCCTTGCCTCAGCCACAGCATTACCCTTGCCTCAGCCACAGCATTATCCTTGCCTCAGCCACAGCATTACCCTTGCCTCAGCCACAGCATTACCCTTGCCTCAGCCACAGCATTACCCTTGCCTTAGCCACAGCATTACCCTTGCCTCAGCCACAGCATTACCCTTGCCTCAGCCACAGCATTACCCTTGCCTCAGCCACAGCATTACCCTTGCCTCAGCCACAGCATTACCCTTGCCTCAGCCACAGCATTACCCTTGCCTCAGCCACAGCATTATCCTTGCCTCAGCCACAGCATTACCCTTGCCTCAGCCACAGCATTACCCTTGCCTTAGCCACAGCATTACCCTTCCCAGATTTAAACTCCACATCACACAAGAACTGTGATAGTAACAATGTTGAATTATTGCTGTGTAATTAACTGGAACCTGTGTAATTAACTGGAACTTGTGTAATTAACTGGAACTTGTGTAATTAACTGGAACTTGTGTAATTAACTGAAACTTGTGTAATTAACTGGAACTTGAGGGCGGAATGTCACCGTCTCCAGTACACACATTGTCTGTTTAAGTGAGACACACACTGACTTGTTTAAAGTCATTGCTTTAAACAATCGGCGACAGAAAGGCGGAAACCAAGAGCCAATGCTCGATCCTGCAGGCACATACAGGTGAGTTCACTCGCTGTTGTTGTCGTGCGTTTTTTTAGTGCAAACAAAAATATTGAATCTGAAATAATCCTTTTTAATTGACAGCGTGTGGAGGCGTCCACGACCCTCCAGGTGCTGGAGCAGGAAGGTCAACCACCCTCCACGACCCTCCAGGTGGTGGAGCAGGAAGGTCAACCACCCTCCACGACCCTCCAGGTGCTGGAGCAGGAAGGTCAACCACCCTCCACGACCCTCCAGGTGCTGGAGCAGGAAGGTCAACCACCCTCCACGACCCTCCTGGTGCTGGAGCAGGAAGGTCAGCCACCCTCCACGACCCTCCAGCAGGAAGGTGCTGGAGCAGGAAGGTCAACCACCCTCCACGACCCTCCAGGTGCTGGAGCAGGAAGGTCAACCACCCTCCACGACCCTCCTGGTGCTGGAGCAGGAAGGTCAACCACCCTCCACGACCCTCCTGGTGCTGGAGCAGGAAGGTCAACCACCCTCCACGACCCTCCAGGTGCTGGAGCAGGAAGGTCAACCACCCTCCACGACCCTCCAGGTGCTGGAGCAGGAAGGTCAACCACCCTGCACGACCCTCCAGGTGCTGGAGCAGGAAGGTCAACCACCCTCCACGACCCTCCAGGTGCTGGAGCAGGAAGGTCAACCACCCTCCACGACCCTGCAGGTGCTGGAGCAGGAAGGTCAACCACCCTCCACGACCCTCCAGGTGCTGGAGCAGGAAGGTCAACCACCCTCCACGATCCTGCAGGTGCTGGAGCAGGAAGGTCAACCACCCTCCACGACCCTCCAGTTGCTGGAGCAGGAAGGTCAACCACCCTCCACGACCCTCCAGGTGCTGGAGCAGGAAGGTCAACCACCCTCCACGACCCTCCACGACCCTCCAGGTGCAGGTGCTGGAGCAGGAAGGTCAACCACCCTCCACGACCCTCCAGGTGCTGGAGCAGGAAGGTCAACCACCCTCCACGACCCTCCAGGTGCTGGAGCAGGAAGGTCAACCACCCTCCACGACCCTCCAGGTGCTGGATCAGGAAGGTCAACCACCCTCCACGACCCTCCAGGTGCTGGAGCAGGAAGGTCAACCACCCTCCACGACCCTCCAGGTGCTGGAGCAGGAAGGTCAACCACCCTCCACGACCCTCCAGGTGCTGGAGCAGGAAGGTCAACCACCCTCCACGACCCTGCAGGTGCTGGAGCAGGAAGGTCAACCACCCTCCACGACCCTCCATGTGATCAGCCTCCCAAGACATCTTCAGGTCTTCGTTCCGTCTTGACTGCAAAGAACAGGTTTGTAAGGTGTTCTTTATTTATTTATACACGAGGATAGATAATAAGAACACAAGAATAACAGAACAGACACATTCACATATGTCTCACCTACGCTTGAAACAGTTAATATGTTACAGAGAGACTTGTTCCATACACCAAAAATTCTAGTTCCCAATCAGTATTTACGCAGGTCTTTTCTGAATCTAAGCCTATGTAATTTGTGTCCATTGTTTTAAGTTCTATTTCTGTTGATATATTTGACATGTTAAAATTTCCCTTTCATCTCTGTGTACTCTTCAGTTATATTGCCCCCCCCCCTCCGGGTCGGTCGAGCGGACAGCACGCTGGACTTGTGATCCTGTGGTCCTGGGTTCGATCCCAGGCGCCGGCGAGAAACAATGGGCAGAGTTTCTTTCACCCTATGCCCCTGTTACCTAGCAGTAAAATAGCTACCTGAGTGTTAGTCAGCTGTCACAGGCTGCTTCCTGGGGGTGGAGGCCTGGCCGAGGACCGGGCCGCGGGGACACTAAAATGCCCCGAAATCCTCTCAAGATAACCTCAAGATAACCCCCCTCTCTCTCTTATCCCTACAAAGAAGGAATAAGAAGAAATGTATTTAGAACAGAAAGCTATACAAGAAATTTCTTCACCTATAAGTAATATTTCTTCACATATGCGAAATCAAAAGCATAAACCATTGCCAGTATTGGACCTATTCTTACAAGTGAAGGTTCATACACAGAGGATGACAAATAAATTAATGAAATCCTAAAAAGCCGTATGAGGACATGTTTAACACTCCAATAAACAGCATAAAAGGGGAAGATCCAGACAACTTCTGTATGCGTGATAACCAAACCCCTGTAAACATAACTGACATCAACACGAGCGTGACAGATTTTGAAAGACAAATTGACAGCATGCCCATGCACTGAGCTCCGGGGCCAGACTCGTGGAATTCTATATTTATAAAGAAATTGCAAAGTGCCAGTAGCACAGGCTCTCAGTATAGTGTGGAGGAAGAGCTTGGACACGGGGGAGATACCAAATGCACTTAAAGCAGCAGTCATAGCCCCTCTACACAAGGGAGGGAGCATGGCATTGGCAAAGAATTATTGACCAGATGCACTAATGTCCCACATAATAAAAATATTTGAGAGAGTGATCAGGAGTCAGGTCACAAGTTTCATGAAGACCAATGACCTTCACAACCCAGACCAACATGGATTTAAAGCCGGAAGATCATGCCTTTCACAGCTACTTGACCACTACGACAAAATCACTGAGGCATTATTAGAAAAAAGGCAGATGTCGAGTACACGGACTTTGCAAAGGAATTTGATTATTGTGACCATGGAATGATAGAACACAAAATGAGGTCAATGGGAATAACGGGTAAAGTAGGACGCTGTATACTCAGTTTGAACACAAAGAGTAACAGTCAACCATATAAAATCGAGTCCAAGCGCAGTTAAAAGCTCTGTACCTCAGGGTACATTCCTTGCACCACTGCTTTTCCTTATTCTCATATCAGATATAGACTCAAATACAAGTCACAAATTCGTATCATCCTTTGCAGACGACACAAAAATCAGCATGACAATTACTTCTGTTGAAGTTATTGATAAACTATAAGCAGATATTAATAAAGTTTTCGACTGGGCAGCAGAAAATAACATGATGTTTAACAGTAATAAATTCCAGGTACTCAGGTACGGTAAAAATGAGAACCTTAAACATAATACAGGGTACAAAATACAATCAAATCTGCCCATACTAGGAAAGCAGCATGAAAAGGATTTGGGAATAATGATGTCTGACGACCTAACATTTAGGGAACATAACCAAGCAAATATTGCGTCAGCCAGAAATATTGTAGAATGGATTACGAGAACTTTCAAATCCAGGGATCCCATCACAATGGTTGTACTATTCAAATCACTTGTGTTGTTCCGTCTTGAGTACTGCTCAGTACTCACTTTCCCCAGCAGAACAGGACAGATTGTTGAAATAGAGGGAATACAGAGAACATATACGGCATACATAGACGCGATAAAGCACCTAAATTACTGGGATCGTCTCAAAGCTCTCCAAATATGCTCACTAGAAAGGAGACGAGAGAGAGATATTAAATAATATACACGTGGAAGATACTGGAGGGCCAGTTCCCAAATCTACACAGTAAAATAACAACGTACTGGAGTGAACGAGATGGAAGAAAATGCAGAATAGAACGAGTGAAGAGCAGAGGTGCCATAGACACAATCAGAGAACACCGTATAAACATCAGAGGTCCACGGTTGTTCAACATCTTCCCATCGTGTATAAGAAATATTACCTAAACAACGGTGGACATCTTCAAAAGAAAAACAGATAGTTTTCATCAAGAAGTGCCGGAACCCACCAGGCTGTGGTGGGTGTGGCCCTACGGGCTGCTACAAGCAACAGTCTGTTAGACCAAGCTCTCACAAGTCAAGCCTGGCCACGGGCCGGGCTTGGGGAGTAGAAGAACTCCCAGAACCCCATCCAAGTACAATCCAGGAACCCTTTCTTGAGAATGTCAGTTAAGGTTCCTTACTCTCTCTTCACAAGAAAGGTTTATATAAAATAAACACTAAGGCCAAACAAGGGTATCGAACCCACGACCCAAAATTGCAGAGGCACATGCACTACCACCTGCACCATAACGGCCATGAAAACTAACATGTGTTTTCACAACATGTGACTTACATGTGTATGGAAGGGACCACCAAGTACATATTTGCGAGGTTTATGAGGTACCCGCCCATACCCAGGTGTAGGTAGTGTGAGATACCCACCCATACCCAGGTGTAGGTAGTGTGAGATACCCGCCCATACCCAGGTGTAGGTAGTGTGAGATACCCGCCCATACCCAGGTGTAGGTAGTGTGAGATACCCGCCCATACCCAGGTGTAGGTAGTGTGAGATACCCGCCCATACCCAGGTGTAGGTAGTGTGAGATACCCGCCCATACCCAGGTGCAGGTAGTGTGAGATACCCGCCCATACCCAGGTGCAGGTAGTGTGAGATATCCGCCCATACCCAGTTGTAGGTAGTGAGAGATACCCGCCCATACCCAGGTGTACATAGTGTGAGATACCTGCCTGTTATGGTCTCGTCACCTTCTTCGGAGTGTAGAGTGGCAATTTAAGCGCTATCTATAGATCTGCACTCCAACTCTCCCGATATTGGACGCTATGTGGACAACGCCATCTATTGGTGGTGGCATGGCAGCAATGAATGACTCCTGTTTCCTGCCTTGGTCAAAGAGAAGTCGTTGTTGATGTCCTCTGGTGGTGATCGTATCATGACCTGCACCACCTAGATGGACGCCTGGTTCAACCTTGTGGCCGAGCGGACGTCTGGACTCCTCCTCCGCCTGGGTGCCGCCTGATCACGTCTTGTTTTCGCGTTTTGGCTTTGCTACTGCCGTTTGGCATCCCTTTTCAGCGGTCCGATTGTACGACGCCTGGCGCACATATCGCCTTGGGTCACAGGATTGTTGATAGATTTTTTTTTGACGTGTACTGGCTGGTTCTCCCGGCGGGGTGACGGTGTTCAGGGGCTGGCTTGGCAGAGAGGTGTCGGAGGTTGGCGGGTCTTGGTGGGCTCCTGGTGGGCGGCCGGATTCTGCTCTGCCGGGGGACGCTGGATGACTTTTTGCGTTTTAGTTGGGGGGCAGAGTTTTAGTTTTGCTACCTGGTGTTCTCTGTGTGGAGCGGGGCCGGTGCTTGTCGCCCTGAGGGACTCCTGGGGCTCCCCAATCATCTGCCTGACTGTGCGTTTATTTGCCGTATGGCATATTAGTTTCTAGTGATTGGCGACACTCGTTTTGCGATTTGGCTTGGCGTTCCACCTCTCCAGGCTTTGCGATTCACCCTTAAAGGGTACACCAGGGCGCATCCGATCCCACGATCGTCGTCGCCCCTAAATCAACAATAACAACAACAACACCACCTAGACTGCTACAGAGCATAATGTCAACTCCCCTGTGAATGAG